TAATCTCAGTGCTGAAAGGAGTAGGCTGGAGACGCTGTGGGCTAGCAGAAAGCAGCATTTGGAGCAGGGTGTGGAGCTCCAGAGGCTGAACCAAGAGGGAGACCGGATTGAAGCAGCATTGTCTGGACATGAAGCCCGACTAAAAGTCCAAGATCTTGGGGTGAGCTCATTTCTCACCTTTTTACATGGTCCAGCTCCTTGAAATGTGACCATTAAATTTGAATCCTAAATAAGTATTTATAGAAATGTGTAAAATTGCTATAAGTAAAGATTATAAATAGGATGTTCTATCATAAAAATGTCAAAATAATGATTACCATTTACTGATGCAGGACTCAGTAGACAGTGTGCACAGTCTACTGGGGCGACAAGATGAACTTGAAAGTCTTCTTATGGCTTTGGATCAAAGAGTGGATAAATTCGCTGAGCGCAGCAAGGAGCTTATCGATCAGCAGCACTTTGCTTCAAAACAGTAAGAAAACAGAAATTGTTCCATAAAGTGGGCTGTCAACTCCATAATTTAATTCTTATGCTGTACTGGAGTAGCTTTGCATATTTTGCTTTTAAAAATAATCCTTCTTTGCCTAATCTTAAACCTATTTATCATATACTGAGCCATGGCATAGTCCCTACATTCATCCATGTAAGCAAGCTGATTTAGTTCCCTTTATGCCAACTTTCTTCTCATGGACTGTTCCCAGCATACAGAAGTTTTTAACAGGGTGGGTGGGACTGCTGTGCTCACAGCCTGATCTCTATACCTGAGTTTACCAAACTGGGGATATAATTTCTGAGGTCATAAAGAAATAAGAGAGGAAGAAGTTAGGGATAAATAGAATTGGTTCTATGAATTGGGTACTATCACTCTGTTTGTAAATCGTTCTACAAGTAGAACACACATCACTGCAAAATTAGCATAATGCAAATCTGAGATAATTAAAGCTCATCTGCTTGCTACTTCAACCTAACAGGAAAGCTTTGATGCAGTATGCACACAGTTTGCAGAGCACCAAGGCTGTTTCTTTTCCATACGACATGAAACCGTGCCATCTAGCTGTCAAATAAATTACAACACCACATGTATACCATCTCTGCTACTTTAATTAAATGGCTTGTGAGGGGTCATGCAAAACATCTTCTCAGGCAGATGGCAGGGAACTGTTTACATTATTAGTTAAATTGTCCCTCTAACAACCAATATGTTCAAGTCAATAACCTTACAATAAACTGTGTCACCGATCTTTAAAACCTCAATGTTTATCTTACAGCATTAAGGAACGGAGCAGGAGCATCCAAAAAGCCAACAGGAGGCTGAAAGAGAGCTGCAGGAAGAGGAGGAACCTACTGCTGGACTCCAAGAAATACCAGGTACTATTGTCAAAATGCTAAAAACAAGAAAACATACTTTACTTTATGTTGTTTATTGTGTCGAGTATCTGCACTGATCATAATATCTACAGGAGAACGCTCAGATGAATGTTATAAGTTCTTTAATAATAATTATAAGGGTGAATTTGCCTGGTGTTTCGTGT